TATGTCCATTCTCCAAGATGAGTGAGGTGACATTCGACTTTCCTGGGCTACGGAATAGGATAACGCCGCGTACTCTTTTGAACCAGTTTAATTAGCCTGTTAAGTTGGAGTACTTTTTGACGCAGTCCTGACGAATCCTCAACTTCTTTTTCAATCAGTTTTTCAATCGTTCTAACAAGTTATTTATCAAAATGAGAATATAATGATCCGGACGGTCAAACGGTAGCCGGTCGGCTCGACGTGGGTGCTTTGTTCACTCACTCAAATCGTCCGCCGTGTTGGTCGCTGGTTCAAGCCCTAGGTTGAGCGATTGATTTTTACTTGCTATCGTACAACACGTGTTGGAAATCACACGTTAAAAGGTAAGACCTTGTTAGTCCTTAGCTCGCACAACTTTCGTCTTCTGAGGGTTATTGTTCGTAGGGGTGCGACAGCTTATTAACGGAAAAACAGATTTTAAACAAATTTTTAAACAAATGTGTTCTCACACATCGGATCTGTAATTCAAAATATTTATCCTGCAGATGTTATTTGAAACCCACTGTTTTTGCTTGATGTGAGTAAATCTTCAGAAAAAAAGTATGACAACTATAGTTGCTGTCTGACTTTCACTTACTTTCAAAGTGGTATCTGTTACATAAAAGTTTCAACTGAAATGATATTTCAGTGCATCAACATCTGCAAACTAACAGTAGGTACTGAAATTCTGACATTCATCGAAACCAAAATATGTATTCAGGCATCGACTTCCATGTTTGATTTTGAAATAACTTTGGAATTCCACTTTTTATCCATATTCTGAGATATTCTTCAAACGGGTGAAAAACCTGGAATCACGAAACATAAATTTTCAAATATCAGTGATCCACTCAGAATATGCTAGTCTCATAGTTCAATACCCAATCTCTACTTCATTCGGGTCTCATTCACAAATTACTTACTCTATAGACGTTTCACGCAAATGATCAAGGTCACAGTCGTTTTTATAGTTCGTTGTGCCCACCTGTAGGGGTCTCTGCTACAAACTACTTGAAGTGGTGTGTGGTCTCTGCAGAGATTATAGGTTATGTCGATTGTTGACATTTTTCCTTTGAAAGGAATTTGATTCGTATTATTTTTATTAGTGTTCTTGGATCAGTTAGTTTGTATCTTATATAAACATATTTATCCAGTGTTATTACATTCTTATATTTGATATTTTTCCATTATTCTTAGTGAACTTCGTTTTCAACTATGTCGTGTAGGGCTGTAGGGAATGCTGCATTTCAAAGTGTTCAGCGTCTGCACCGCTACACAAATTTCCAAATCCTGGAAAATATCTAGAACAATTCGGAATATGGGTGCACTCTATCAATGGTAGGGATTTCAACGAAATGGACCCAGTAATGGTGTATCGCTCTAAAAGAGTTTGTCATAAACATTTCGAGGCCAAATACCATTCATCGATGTCGAGTAGACTTCAACCTCAGTAGCAAATTAGAATATTTATACGTAACACTTTCAAAGTAAACAATGGTTGACCTATTAAACTATGAGATTGGAACCTTTGGTGAACAGTTGAAACTTTTCCTAGAGATCAATTATCCTAACACCAAACTGATATTTTTTGCACTCGACGCGTGTTTCGCTAACAAGGTAAGCATCTTCATCTATCAATAGATACTGTATCAATTTTCTTCTCCTGAAGATGCTAACCTTGTTAGCGCAACGCGCGTCGAGTGCAAAAAATATCAGTTTGGTGTTAGGGTAATTGATCTCTAGGAAAAGTTTCAATGGTTGCGTTTAAGTTTCCCGCTTATTTGTTTAGTTCCGATTGTATAGAGGGAGCTGAAAATCATTGCCAGCTGACAGCATTGTCGTCAACTACGCATGCTCATAATTTGACAAATTATTGCTGCGACCTATACAGGTGGGAACAACGAACTACAAAAGCATCTTCGACCAATACCATTGCCGTGAAGCGTCTATAGAGTAGGTGGTTTGTCGTCTTATCATAAATTTGTTTCATTTTCGATCATCTTCAAGATAATCATTTTACGCTATGGTTTATCTACCCTTAATATTATTTCATAAGAAAATGTAGAAATTTGTAGAGATATAATCTGATCTGTTTTCGATTTTTTCAAGGACGAAACATAAGCACTACAGAAAAATCCTTAGGGCGCTCTTAGAGCGTTGCCTGTACAGAAGTAGTGATTCACATTGGATTTGAATCACTGGAAATTGAATCCATTTGGAAAAACGTTCTCAGGAAATTTATTCCACATCAACGCTGCTCTCCAAATGAAAGAGTTCCTAAACAGTGAAGTTCGAGGTATACTGAGTTGAATCTCAAAGTGATGACCAGCCACAGTCCGTCGCGTATGTCTGATTTGTATCGCTCTTGGTGAAATCAAATGTGCCAGGTCACTTGAACACTTTCTTTGAAAGTATCTATAGAAGAGAGACAAATCTCCAACTTTTTCTCCAGACTATCCAGACTATCAAAGTTACAAATGATGTTCGCGTCTCCAATCAGGCGAATAGGTCCTTTCTGGATGGAATCTAGCAGCTTCAGGGTATGTTTGGGGGGAGCTCCATACATGAGAACAATATTCAAAAGAAGGTCTGATATGAGCTTCATAAAGTAACAAAAGTTGCTGAGGTGTGAACAGTTTTCTGGTTCGGAACAGTGTTCCAAGCTTTTGAGAAGCAACCTTTGCAATTCCAGCGACATGATTGTGACAAGACATATTGGTGTTCATTTTAACCCCCAACAAACTCATCGATGCAGAAAGCGGAACTGTATGTCTTGACATTATCATATCCGGTTCAGAAACATCAAAATCGATGCCTGGGTTTTTGTGGCATTGAATTGAACCTGGTTACTTTCACCCCAATTTGACATTCCTTCCAAATCCTCATTAAGATATTCAACTTCCTGCTGCCGGTGAAGATGTTCATCCACAGCCAATGTCCTGTAATGACGAGACAAGTGTGCTGTCGTCAGCCAAGCAATACATTGGATTTTTTTGGGGTATATCCATCGACAAGCTATAGCATCGAAGTTTGGCCAGCAAACCCTTAACGACACACGGTCGAAGGCCTTAAAAATATCAAGCGCAACAGCTCTTGACTTTCCATGTTTCTCCATTGCGTTATTCCAAATAGAAGGTCGCCTGTTAAACTTTGTTTCTGGAAGCCATATTGATGATCGTTCGAAGTGTTGAAGCTTTCCAAATATTTGAGGAGAAAGCCGTAAAACCAGCATATGGTTTACGGCTTTCTCCATGATTTTTGAAATCACCGATAGGAAAGCGACTGGTCTATAGTTGTTTGAAAGAGTTTTCTTTCCGTTTTTGTAAATAGGCTGAACGCGAGCCCCTTTCTTGTAAAACTGGTTGAAAAGTTTGCAAAATACTGGTGCGAGTTCATTTGCGCATTTTTTAAGTACGGTGACGGATACTTCATCAGGGCCAGAGGCCTTGTTGATATTGAGCTGTTTCAAAATTTGCCTAAATAGACGCTGTCGAAAAGTAATTTCCGGTATTGTGGATCCTAGTGTGGGAATAGTGGGTGGTGCTTTCCTAGAAAATTGACTGTGGAGTGGGACGCAAATTTTTCAGCTGGTAGATTTGCTTTGCTTTTTCTATGGGCGTTGTTGCAATTAATCCATCCGCTTGTGTAAGTGGTGGAATTGTAGATTTTGTGAAGTTCTGATTAACAGCTATAGCTACCGACCAGACGGATCTAGACCCGTTGGGTTTGGCAAGCAGTTTATTCCTAATTCTCTGATTGTGAAGTTCTCTGCTTTCATTTATCCTAAGTTTTCAGCTGTTGCCAGCATTAACAAACCTAGTTCGATCGATTTTTGTCACTAGGATTTCTGCACCACTGCCAGTGGGCGAGATTTTTGGAAGTGACAGCTTGCTAGCAATTTTTGTTGAACCAAGGTTTGCCGTTAGAAGGTCGTTTCATTGAAAGAGGAAAATATCCTTATCCATCCATATCCTATGATGATGATAGAATAATTTCCGTGTTTTTAGAAGTACAAGTTGCTGGATCTTTGAAGCTGAAACAAACATATAGCCAGAGGAAATTTCTTAAATGATCTTGAAGATCCTTCCATTCGGCTGATCTGCAATGCCAAACTTTGCGCGGCTTAGATTTTTCCCCAACATTTATCGGTAATTCACTCAACACTGAAATGAGTTAGAGGTTAGAAGATCTCAATGGAAACCTCAAGGTGTTAGGTGTTTATCCAGAAGGCAGGCATATTTTCCGTCACGGTCAGGAACCCGGGTTGGCTCATTTATAATGTGAGTAGGTCCGTTGCTTATTGCAAAAGCCTCAGTTTCGCAACCTTGTTCGTCGTTGATATTTGTAAATTTGAGCCATTCTATATTGTGGACAATGAAGTCATCGAATATGGAAATTTCGGCACTGAGATGATTGATTCGCTGAAAATCAATGGTATTTGCAAGTGTAGAGAATAGTTCCCTATATTATGTATCGCTAGGTAGTCGATATACGCAACATATAAATTTGATGATCTTCGGTGATATTATTTTGAACCACATAACATCAAAGTTTCAGGGTTCCCGCATTTCCTCTCGTCGACAGGAGAGATCGCTTTTGATATAAAGAGATATTTCAAAGTTACGTCTGAATCGTGAGTGGAAATCATAGCCAGGATATAAAAAATTGACCGGGTTCGTTGAAGCACTGACTTTGGTTTCTGTGAGTGCAAGAATATGGGGACTATTTGATTGCAGATGTTGGTGCACTCAGTTTATATTTGAGTTGAGTCCTCTGATATTACAGAAATTGATTTTGAAGTTGCTTGTGGGCCTCTTAGCAACTGCAGTTACCATACTATTTACGTGTGGACTGATGTTAGGAAGACCCTGCTGACTACCAGAAATAGTAGTCCTTGAATACATTCTGCAAGATGATGCCCTTGAATCAGCTCCCACCCTGAAATACAATTTGGAACTATTTTACCTCCGGAGTATTCTGACCCTAGGAGCATCATCATGCATTTTTTCTTATATTCCCACCTTCAAATTCGGAAACAGCGGTACACCAAACTCACGCTGCGATGGAATCTCATCGGGCGATACCGGGTGGGACCAGCATCTACCATCTAGCAACATCTACCATCTAGGTATAGAAAATATAGGGCTAGCAGATGTCTTGGTTACTTCAGCGATTGATTAGGCTGATTGAAACAGCACGAATATATAAATTTCTTTAAAAAAACAAGAAAACATATGAATATTGTGTTCAGAGGGAACCTTGAATTTGTACATTGTGTTATAAAACACCTATGATTTTCATAATAATTATTCATACCTAACATTCTGAACCCACTGATGCAATGTTCAATTTTTAGTAATTCAAGTTAATTATTTAATATAACGTCGATTCTAGGAACTTCATAAATAATGAATATCTAGAAAGTATCTGAAATTACATCCGAAGCTTCATTCAAAGCTTCAACTAGGCCAATATATTTTCGAAATGAGGAGATGGTTACTTCACTCATCGCATATCCAAATCAACAACGTTGACATTATATTATCTGCTTCATCTTACAATCAATTCGGGAAAATTTATGTCAACAAACTATTTAGAGACATGCAAGTTAGAGTCCAGCGAATGAATGAATGAAACATGTTCTCCACGAAGGAATTTATTTTCCAGGAGAACTCTTAGCTATTTCTTCATTCCGCTTCGAAAATTCTGCCCGATATTAGCGGAACTTCTTCAAGATCTCACAAACTTATTACTTGTTGGGTGAAATGCAACTTTTCCAACCTGTATTTTTTAGATGTTCACAAGCAATTCAGAAAACGCTTCATGTTTTAGAAATGGAAAAAATAATTCATTTAAAAAATTTTGTTTGATTATAAACACTGAAATATTTTTTTCATGTTNTCTTGGAAAAAATATGAATAACCTCAAGAATAAAGTTTCCATTGGAGAGGAATGTGAAGAATTTATATCTGAAATGTTGGAGCGTCAAAAAAGGTCATCCAACATTATGATTGCCAATATCAGAGAGGCAGCAGCGGAAAGGGGCATTGATAGGAAAGAAGAAGATACAAACAGTGTAAAAGACCTACTTAAAGATCAAAATGTGGACTTAACTGGTATAAAAGTATTTAGAGTTGGTAAGCCAGTTGAGGGCAGGGCCCGGTTGATGAAAGTCGGCGGATGCTCTCAGAGTTCTTAGGTCAAGAAAAAATAATGGTAATACTGTTGAAATTCTTTCAGATCAAACTAAAAAACAGAGAGAATACTATTTATTTGTGAAAAATAAAAAATTAGATGCATTACACGCAGAAGGGGACACATCTAAAATGATAAAATATATAAACAATAAGCCTACTATAGTTTCAAAAACTCATAACTTTCGAAACCATTAGAAAGAGCTCCTCCAATCAATTTCATTGTGACATAATTTATGCCAATATTCAAAGCTTTTCAGCAAATAAAGTTGAAGTCATTGCAAACATCAAATGTTTTAAACCTGCTTGAATGTTATTTAGTGAAAGTCGCACAACAGATGAAATAGATGATAGTGAAATCAATTTCACCAATTATAATGTAGAGAGATGTGATTCAAACTCACGTCATACTGGAGGAGTATTGTTATATATAAGGCAGGATATTTCTTATAAAGTTGAAAAATGTTATGTCCTAGAGAGTAATTACTGGTGTAAAACTATTGTTATACAGATTCATGGTATTAAAGTCTTGATAGGAGTTTTATATCACTCACCAAGCTCTAGTCATTCTGAATTTCTTAATGATTTTGAGTCTATATGTGATGAAGTTTTCTGTACTAATATAAAAAGTATCATATTTGGTGATTTTAACTTAAATTATATTAGTAATACTATCATTGTGAAAAAATAAAAAATATTTTGAATATGTTTGAAGTTGAACAAATAATTAAGGATTGTACAAGATGTATTAGTGAGAGTTCCACTCTTGTAGATCACGTGCCCACAAATTTTGAAATTGTTGCATATGTACATGATATACCAAAAACTACTGACCATTCTATCATTTCCGCTAATATTTGTAATAAAAACCCTTGTAGAACTGAATGGTCATGTACGATGTATAGAAATCTAAATGTAACTGATATGCATAACTGAGGATACACCATTTATGATGTAATAGTCGAAACCGGTCGACAATGAAGAACTATAGTGGAAAATAGACAAAAGTGTGTTTTTGTAGTGTATCCTCAGTGAACATGAATTTCCACAAAATAAACAAGTCGTCAATCGAAGAAGTAATATGGACGATATTCCATAACAATTCAGTTCAATGTCACCTTTCAAAACCTGTAATGTTTTACCCATTATTCATTAGTTCGTTATATATTTTCGTTTCTCATCATTAATAGGGATATTGTCATTAAATTATCGTCAGTATTATCAGAGCGGAAGATACTTCAACTATACCAGGTATCCGAAAAGTCTCTCCAAAAGGAGTCCAAAAAATACCAAAATCTTGAAAAGAACCATATATCGATATGTAGCGCATTTCAAAGGCATTGTAAAAACCGAATATTTCTGAACCGATTTGAGGTCTTAACGTCTACCCGTTTCGATCAATAGGGAAGATTAATAATGAATGCTAGTTGTGGAAGNAGTAAAATTGCCATAATAGGTTCCAGGAATTCATCACGCATTATCCAACCCCATTTTCATAAACAATACCTTAGGATTTGATCTCCACAAACTTTATTTTGACAAAATATCACATCGTTTCGCTAACACAGTAGCTTTCTCGTAGTGAATAATGTACTTGAAGTATCGAATCCCAATCCTGGGGTTCTATATCAGACCCTAACCAAATCTGAACTTGAAAATTTTTTTTAGACAAAAGTTGAATTCAATCTTCTGCAATATTTACATTAAATACAAATATGATAACAGCCTGGAAATGAAATATTTGCAAAAAATTTATTTTTTCACCTTTGACCTTAAATATCGGTAGTCACGGCCACTTATTTTGGCAAGTTTTAGGATGTCAAAGGTTTATACAAGTTTATAGCTGACTATCTCCAATTACTAGACGAAACCCCTAATATGACCAGACTAAGTTCTAGTATTAACTCATAGTCTAGATATATACTGACTGACAAAAAAATGTGAACACCCATATTTGTTTATCTGATTTTGATATTTTTTGGTACATGTGCTCAATATCAATAGTGTGTCAAGTCGCAAATTCAATAAAAACATATACAAGGTGGTTATCATTTTTTGTCAGTCAGTATATTATTAAACACATGGAAACAAACAAGTACATTGAAAATATAAATGTATTTCAAACAGTTCCAAAATATAATAATGAAACAAACTTATCAATTATTAGATTTTGTTGAAGGCAGCAATGTCCACACTTTGCACCTAAAACAAGAAAAAAGTATTCATTTGATGGAATTTGTATATAAAAAGACAAGTATGTATATTTTATTTATATGGAACAAATTTACATAGAACAGCTCAGAAAATCCAAAACAAACACTGCTCTCACACAACCAGAACTGCAACACCTTCTCCACACATGATTCACCAAGTTTGCATCATCAGGTTATGAAGTATACATATTGGTGAGTGGTGCTAGCTGATAATAGGTTCCTAGCTATGGTTTATTGTAACAAAATATGACCACCTGCAATTTTCCTTTAATCGTCAGTGCCAGGTGTAAACTTGTCTTCCACTGAATTCAGATATAACATACGAACTCAAAATTACAGCTAGGATAATATTCGCCATTTAAATCCAAACAATTTATTTTTGAACTTTACTTTGAACGATCAAAGGTCACATAAGTGGCAAATCAACAAATCTTTAAAAAATTGACGGCGCTTCTCATCTTATTTTAACCTGTGTTTTGGACAATATAATAACAAACTTACATATTCTTCGAGCTCTTGCAGTGTTTCAGTCAGCCAATCAATGGATACTTTATCATCTTCCACAACACAAGAAATTTGTAATTTTTTAATACCATAAGCAAGAGGTACCAGTTTTGCAGCACCCCACAAAAGACCATCTGCTTCAATTTTTCTCACGTTTTCTTCCATTGCTTTCATGTCAGTCTCATCATCCCAAGGCTTAACATCAAGAATTATGTTTGATTTTGCAATCAAAGCTGGTTCTGAAATAAATAATAAATAATTTAAAGGTTATCACTTTTTTTGGATATGGTGAATATCACACAAAAAATTTATAAACTTGGAATGCAAATTGTTGAATGATGAAGAATCAAATAGCATCTAATTAGGTAGGTATGTCCAAAGTGAGTGGGTCTATTCGATCGTCCACTGTAACCAGCTAGGATATTGAAATTCAACAAAATAAATCCAAGTTCTTAACGAAGCCAATCACTGTATTTAATGACCGATCCTTCAGGTTACTGGCAAAAGAGGGACTGCAAAACACTGAAAAACTGATTCGGTCTGAGATGGAGCAGGTACAGAGTGCTAACACGACCCGAATTTCCTGACGATCTATGATACATTTTTTCAATCTAATGAGAACCTGATGGGTGGTAAGCCTGAGACTACCTTCGTCAGGTGGGTAAGCAACAGAAATGTGTGGCTTGAAAAGTAGGTCTCCTGTGACCCATTTCAGGGAGACACTCTCCTTATCCCTCAAGGTAACCTGTAGCCATCAAGCCCGGAATGTGCAGCTCTGGTATAATACCTGAGGACCATCTTGAAAATCCTCTATGGTAGCCATTATTCTATACAGTTCATTGGTCGATATTGAGGTTTTCGGATATTCAAGATGCAAGACTCCCACCTTTATGACTGCAGTAACCTTTCCACATGGCATATGTACTACAGTTATACAAGACATCACATTCAGCAATGCAGGGATTTTTTGCTTGTGGTTTGGGTGAATAATCACTTGAGAAAGCTTTTGCTGACCTGCTCAGAGGGAAGTTTGTTTCCTATCCTGATGCAAATTCTGATTCCGCTGTTGGTACAGAGCATATTCATAAGATATCCTGCTCTTGCGAAGGTGATAAGTCGTTTCCTCACTGCACAACCTAGTCTCCTAGGTTTGTTTATTTGATAACAGGATCAAGATTCGGAGAACGGAGAAGCTCTTGCTTTTGATTTGATCTCACAGGACGGACAGTTGGGATTATTCAGTCGATACACATCTTTGAGTCGGATTCCTTAGTTAGGTACCTCATGATCTATAAGGGGTCCTACAAGTAGCTAGGGTGGTTCATTACGGGAGTGCCTCACATAACTGTGACAAGGTTTTCTTAGACTAGAGGGCACCCCCTATCTCAAAGGTTCCATTAGTGACAGTGAGTAGATTTAGAGTAATATATTCTTCCTGCACGTATACATAAATTTTACGATAAGGCGTCATTTACGAGGACTCTACCTCCATATAGGTGACATCTCATCCGGCAGGAGTATTTTGATGCCTGTTTCCTGCAGCGGCAGAAAAGAGGCATTAGAATACTATACAAACTTTCTTATTAGTCAGTGGGCTATGCTTGAAGACTGACCGTAAACAAATCTAAAGAAATGAACTTTAAACGTTCAAGCCAGTCTCGAACACACCTACACAGTAGGTTAAACGTTTAAAGTTCATTTCTTTTTGTTTACTGCCAGCCTTCAAGCATAGCCCACTGACTAATATATGCAGTTGGTTAGTACCTCGTCCACTAGATGGAGTGACATTTTGTTGTTTCGCTCCAACTTAGGAAAAGGAATTCCGATTTTCAATTGTGGAATATCATTGACTTTAGGTCGATGATGGTCACTATCTTGCACTGATGAGTGACTAATAAGCCCGAAAACGGTTTGCAAGTGTGCCCGTTCCAAAATTGAAGGTCGACTCTTTCAGTTGTATTGCCAATTGTATATGAAGGAAATTTTCTGTGAAGATTCCTGCACTGACGCCTGTTGGATATAATCCAACGCCCTTCGTAGTATTAGCCAGGGGAATAGTTGTTTTCTGATAGGCGTTAGTCCATTTAACCTACTGTGTAGGTATATTCGAGACTGGCTTGAACGTTTAAAGTTCATTTCTTTAGATTTAGATACTATACAAAGTTTCAAACCAAGCCAGCCGATTCTTTGCATTACCATCAGATGAATTATCTTGTTCATTGCCCTCAGTTAAATTATTTTGTTCTGGTGTCTTCAAGGTGTCCAGTGAATAGCCCCTATAAATTTCGCAGCTGTTCTTCATTTTTTTTCTGAGACATACCGTTTTTTCCAATGTGACCAGTTACTTGAATCATTTCATTATTACTAACCGTGTTAGGAATCACACGTTAAACGGTAAGACCTCGTTAGTCCTTAGCTCGCACAAGTTTCTCAACTTCTGAGAGGTGTCGTTCGTATGGTGGCGACAGTTGATTAACGGAAAAACAGATTTTTATACAGATTATTATATCAGTTTCGGACCATTTGAAGTTATGTGGATGGATCCAGACATGCTGTTATTCCTAACTCATTGGTTCCTCACTGAATGTTCACAGCCTTTTTTTTTTGTCACTAATGTAGGATTTGATTTATTCTCATGGTACGTGGAAAATCCGGTTCTTGTAGTCCAGGTTGGAATTAGCTGGCGTGGTTGGCATAAGGCTGCTTAAAACTTCAAATCATATTTTGCTGTTTCTTCATGGAGTTAGATGAGAAGTTTTGATTTCAAGACAGCAAACTATGTTCAATTTTCAACAAATACCTATAGAATAACAGTCCTAAGAAGATAAATTGATCATGGAACAAGTAAAGTGTTGTTTCAAGTAAAATATTGAAACTAGCAAAACTACTCGTTCACCATTTGTTTTCATTGTTTGATTTCTAATATAGACTGACCGATACCAATTGATAATATCATCAAATATATTGCCATAAATTGTTTGTAAAGATAATGGCTAATCAAAGAAATTAAGCTTAAAAGTAGTTGAAACCAGAAATGGGCTCATTTAACAATTTTTTTTATTTCATAATTTAAAAGTTTATGTTTCAAATAGTACATCTGCAAAAAATCTGAATTTTCACTCTTTATCTTCCCCCTCAAATTAATTGTTGAATGTGCCGTTTACCGAAACGGGGCGTGGTCAAGCTTGATGTCACATCAGTCGACTCGGCGACAAGGAAGTGCTGGCGGATAAGCGAAATACGTGTGCTATAGCCGTAGAAAGCAAGTTACGTGTTGTTTACTGCAGTGTGTCAACTGCGTGAATATGAATAGTGATAAAAAATGAAGTTACAAGTATTGCATCGTTCCTAAATGCAAGAATTCTTCAGTAACTGCACCAGACAAAATTTGTATTTTACTGTTAAGAAAGTTATGGCAGCGCGCTATGCGGAGGGCCGACTTTGTATCTGTCAAGGGGATGCATTTTTGTTTTAATAACAAAATTATAGTTTACTTTGAATTTTAGGTTGAAACAGACTTAGAAAATTACATGTATATCAAAACTATGAAAGTGGGAAAAATGATATTCAAATCAACTTTTTCATAGTAACCCCTCTGATATGGGTATCGAATGAAAGGGTTTGATGAGCGAAATACAATAAACATAGTGACGTGACTGTAAATCCAATATAGCCAACCGCCCAAGATGGCGGACTATTTTTTATGTACTCCCATGATATGGGTATCAAATGATACCCATATCAAATGATGTTTCAATATTGCGAATTTAAGTATTGAAAGCAAAAAGTTAATGGAAGGGTATAGTGTTTGATGACCTCGAGTTTGTCTTTGATATATGTGATATCCTCATTTCTTACTGAATATAGGATAAAGAAAATAACTTTTGTCTGATTTCTACTATTTTTTCATTTGTTGCGAGTGGATTCGGTTTGGTAAACCATTTTCAAGTAAACAGTTTACTTGAAAATGGTTCAACAAACCGAAACTGGTCGTAACAAATCAAAAACTTATTAGACATATGACAGTTATTTTCTTTATCCTATATTCAATATGAATTTCTACAAAATAAATAGTTCATCAATCGAACAACTCAATTTTTACAGAATGACTTGCATAAAAAATCAAAATGGCGGATCTAATGTGGCTGACTAATTTACTGAACGAATAGTAAAGAGACATCAAAGCGGTAGGATGCGTGAGAATATTATATAACCAACGTGCAGTGATTGTTTGGCTGAGGAGCGCAAGNTCCTTTCAGTCCTCCAAGTTTGTGAAACGCCCGTTAAGGAAAAAATGTTGTGCAGGAGAAGTTTTTTGTCAGTTTCAATCTACACCAGAAATTCCAATTATAGCTTTCATTGAGGATTGAGTCAAAAATAGGTACTCTGATAATTTTTTCAAATGGAACATATTTTTCAAATGGCAAATACACATTCTTAATCAACAGAAAATGTAAAAATCAAATAGGGCTTCACATATAGTACAATATTATTCAATCTACCAATTTATTTAGTCCCTGTATGTATTCAAGTACAAAAATTCTTCAAAATCGTGCAGTTCATAACATTCCGATTTTGATTGACTAACATGAAATGGATATGTGTAAAAGATATCAAGCTCAGAAAATTTTGATTATGAAGCTACCAGTCACAGCAGTAATTCAAGCATTGAATATTCAATGTGTGAACTCATTTGTTACATTTCATGAATGAAGAAAAAAGAAATTCTTAACACAAACAGTGAAAATTATATATTTGGCAGAATCATTTGATGATGTGTTTGTCATGCTTAGGAAATATTTCTTGGTATCTGGTGTAGTCTTCCTGAAGGCAGCCTTTTAGGACTTCTTTTATCAATTATTTATTTGAATAATATACATTTTCTGAAGAGTTATGAATTTCTCAATATATCTGCTGATGATACACTAGTTGCATGTTACAGCAATGATGTTGAGGAAATATCGGTAAAATCAAATAAAGTTCTGAAATCATTTAGGCCATTTCTAAGATTAAATGAACTGAATGTGAATGCAAATAAAACAAATGTATCAGATCCTCATGACGTGTCTGCTTCCGCTCTTTGACCATACTTTTTCCGGACCTGACCTTAGCAAATTTCTTCCAAAAGTTTGTCTTTTCTGTGGAAATGCAGAAGTCCTGGTTAACTTCACCCATTTCTTGACAGTATCTGCGACTTTTGACAGCCATATTTTTTTATTACATTGCTTTGAACAATACTCGATTTCGGATTCATTTTTTCTTCAACAGATTCTTCAAGTTCCAGATGCTGATGCAAGAACTAGTCAGTTGTGTATCATTCAAATTCTCCTCAATGTCAGCATACTCCGTGTCATAATTTTCTGATGTAATATTTAAACCAGAACTTGCAGAAGATTCATCTTCATTACATACTGCATTGTATAATCCATTAACCGCTCGAACTCTATCAAAAACCTTTTGATTCTTTTTGAAATCGTCACTNAAAACTCAAAATAATGACCCTATACTCAGTTATTGTCTATGAAAATCTGCTTCTTGTTCAACAAAACTTGATGAATAAAGTTGCTCACAAGGATATTCACCAACATTATACAAGAAATGAGTCAAACCTTGTTTCTACAGCTAATAGGTTGAAAAAAAATGGATAATATAGGAATTAAGCTATACCAGGCCTTATCTGTCGAATTTCGTAACTTGCCATTCAGAAGATTCAAAAACGTATTGAAGAAAATATTAACCAAACATCCTTTATATGTAATTGATCAATTTTTCGAACTTTCTCTCAACTTTCAATATATATAATATGTTGATATGTGATTTATAATTTTTAAAACTCATGGCTTTACATTTGAGTCAATTTTTATACGATTGGAATTTCATCTACTTAACTTGTCCTTTTTTGTAACTCTTACTTATCTACAAGCATTTTTCAGAAACTATATTGACGAATCTTATCCTCTCAAACCTATTTTAGAAATTGTATTGACGTGTCTGAAAAAGGTGTGTTTCTTGACAGAAATAAAATTATTATTATTATTATCTATGTAATTGACAAAACTCAAACATTGCTTATCCAAGATAAACAGTCCACAAGGTGGTCTAGTGAATGAAAATTGCTTTATATTTTTCTGTGCAGCTTTTACTGAAAGCCAACTAGATTAAACACTTGTGATCCAACTGCAGGCACCTGGTATGGGTATCTTCAAAGGTGTTAGGCTGAATTACAAATGCATCGATGCATCCTCAAAAAATGATCCTGATAATCATGTAAGCTTGGAGATATCTCCTTGAGAGAGAAAGACAGAAAGCATTTTCTCATTTGGCGGACGATATCGAAGCTTGTTAATAGACCATTGTGGGGACAAAGGCTTGTTCTTTGGGGATAGCCGTGTTCAACACTGCATTCGTGGTTCAACCTAGCGCTATTGATCAGATATGAGAGAGGTCGAGAATTATCAGTGGGAATGTATTATTTAGTGTGAATATGTCTTATTAGTTGAGAGTTTATAAAGAAATCTTCGTTTCATCTGATGTTGGATTCGTTCAGATTTTATTATCTACTGAGAATATTGTTCAACTGAATGTCATTAGGAAGATATTAAATAAATGTATCAAGAAAATTGCTTATGACTTCGTAACAAATCTTCTCTTTTGATTGGGTGTGAGACTCCTTTACATACTCCAAAATACTGGAGGAATGTATCCCACTCAAAAAAATAATCAAATAATGTAAAGTTAGGAGTGATCAGAAACCAGCAATTTCTACAAACAATGTGAAATCAAAGTTGTGCTATCAATATATTTATATACAACTTTGGATTTCTATCATTGTTAGGATGGCCCACTCAGTTCATACACTATAAAATTTGTTGCAAGAGGAATGATTCAATATAAATGGACATTTTTTCAAGGGCATCTCTAATAAGACAACCCACATATTTGTTTTTAGCACATATAGTGTAAACCAGAAACAAATTCAATATAGTGAATGTGTATTTTGGAAAAAAATTCTTAAATCTTTTTTCAATGAATTAATTTTTTAGTCTTTCAACCTCCCAGTCATCCAACTTAAACAGTTCCTAATTTGATTCTAAATAGGTAACAAACCGTATGTTCCTAAATTTTCAATAACAGATTATTTTTTAAACAACCAGTTATAAAAATAAATAANATTTGTAAAACAATTACAATCCTGAAAAGGAACTTTTTCTTCAGTTTTGATAATTTTTTTTGTTGGGTTTAGTTTTGAAAAAATAAAACAATAAAATCAGAATATTTCCGTTTACTAAGTTGTTATATCAGGTTGTTTCAGTAGTTTCATCCATTTTATTGTCATGTGTTTTTGTAGCTCCATATCTCAATGAATATTTATTCTACTGTGTCGTGGTATATACTCATCGATAGAGAATTTTGATTTTTGATGCTGTTCATTTTTTCCAAATTTTTATTTTTTGTCTTTTCATCATATTACTACATGATGTCGTTAAGCGATTTTCGTCCAATTTTTCTCTACGAAACAGGCCGAAAAATAAACCAGGCATTTGGCAATGATAGTGTTAACGAATACACTGTTCGACGTTGGTTTGCGAAATTTCGTTCCGGAGATTTTAGCCTCAAAGATGAGATTCGATATTTTCGAATTGAAAAGCAAAACAGTTGTTCTAGTTTCGAAAACAAACTCAAAACTCGAATTCCACCAAACAGACAGAAACTAGTCTGAGTCGCGTGTTTTGTTGTGAAATGTTTTGTCATTCCCACTACACGAAAAGTTTGTATCATGCCTTCTCTAGACGATGTTATTATAATGGCCTGCGTTTTTTAAATAATCGAATCTTTTGAACTGATAAAATTATGGCAGATTTGATAAATGATGACATAGAAATGAACGGACAACTGAGATTACCAAAATTCTTACCCATCACAGATTAACACTTTAAATAATGTAATAATGTCACATGAAGTCACACATTAAAACAAAATAGTTAACTGAATAGTTGCTTGTTGTTATCGCCGACCGTTTACAAAAACAGAAAAACAATCCACATCCTCCTTTATGGTAATTTATGACAAAATCCACTAACTCGATTAAAATATTAGACCATGTGAATTTGGGTTCCAAAAGTCAAAGAACAATTCAGTTGATGTAAATTTTCATAAGTCACTACCTTTTCAAGAGTTGATTTTCAATCCTATAAAGGAGTATATAGATCATGTGCCTTAGGAATGAGAGACTAGTTCTACATATACATCATTTACATTGTTTCCCAGCCGTAATTTTTTTTAACCATTATTCAATGTTTTTACACTATTTAATATTTTTCAATACTTGTACAGCTACCAAACTGAGTCTGGTTTGGGTTGGTGTTTATGCAATTTACTTATAAACTCCATCACTAACTGAATAAGGTCCTGAATTTGGATGTTTACGGCTCGAATAATCTAACAGACTGATAACAGATTTCTACACATATACTGCACATCTTGAGGGAGGAGCTTCTCACTGGCCATGACTCAGTCAGGCGTTGTATTGTATGTAATTTTATTATATGTAGTGTCCAGTAATATATTGTTTTTTGTTCATTACAGAACTAATTCTGACGAATCAACTGCTAAAATCAGCTACTAAAACTACCATCATCAAATAAAACATTTTAAAACTGGTTCACAATTTTTACTTTTGAAATCATAAACGCATACATATACTCACATTTTTCGAATTCTACAACTTTCTTCTCTATAAATTTGATGGCTCCGATGTCAATTGACGCTAGACTAGACTGGAAAAAAAATTGAATTGAGTTGAAATTATAT